GTGATAATGAAAAAGCACTAATTAAATATAATAAATGTGGTCGGAGAATAATGTTAGAAACTTCTAATCCAGATAGCGACAACAATATCACTTTTCGCCAATAACTGTGGAGGAAATTTCATATAACGAAGATATATTTGCTTCTGATTCGCAAGAAAATGCACAACTGTTTGTGGGCACTCGTGCAGTGGATTTGTTTAAAACATGTTCTGCAATTGTCAAAGAGATTTATTGTCAAAAATATCTTAAATTATAGAACAGTTCTGAAAAATAGATTGACAAATGTCTTAATTAATTATCTCAGAATTGGACATCTCTGTTATATCAGTTGTTTTACGAGTCAAGACATTTGAAGTTTACGCCTGAGATCAAGAGAACATGAGTCATGAAATGAAAAAGATAAAAGAGAAGAAGAGATGGAAAAGATGAACAGAAGAAGAGAAAAGAGACGAACCAACAAAAAGGTCAGAAAACAAAGTAAGGCAAGAAGAACAAATAAGGGAAAATACAAGAGACAAAGTATAAAGAGTTAAAATATGTAAAAAAGAGAAAAATAGATTTTGACTCAGCACTGTAATATGTATTGTATTTACTTTACGAATAATGTATTCTACAAATTGTTATTTCTCGCTTAGGAATCCCTGGTGCAGCAAGGACCCTATTACAGAAGTAGTTTTGTCAACCGTATGCAGTTTCCCAGGCAGCAGTTCGCAGTGAGTAATTTCTACAGAACACAAAGCGTGTCTTCCTGTAGACCATTGTTCAACATGGTTTCAAAAAGAGCACATCAGCACCATGTCAGCTGGTCAGCGAAATGTCATTTTGGCTCATTCTTAGGGCTGACAGTTTGGTTCAAATCCATTTCTCAGCCCCTCGTGTCTGTTGGAGTACGAACTAGTAGCTTCGGCGGCAACTCTAATCTAAATCTAAAAATCTAATACGTCTGAGAGGCTTCCGTGCTAACTTATATTTAAAACGTCTAAAACTTCGAAAACCTGAGCTTCATGGCAACTCAGATTTATGGCTTTACTGCAGTTCTATTTCTGTCGGTATTTACAGATGCATTTCCAGAAAGAGTTTGTGTAAAAATTCAGTAAAAATTATAAAATGTTCTGTACTTTACAA